CTGAACTTTGAAACCTCAAATAAATGATAATGTCACTTCGTCATTCAAATCTTCAATGATGGCACTTGATGTTAAATCCGTCCAGTTTACTGTCTAGCAAAACTGTTTTCCTGTCTGCTTTACTGTGCAAATAACATGACTACATTAGATTTACTTCTCTTTAAACTTCAATAAAGCTGGAATTCCTATTTAGACACGTAGAGGAAAATAGCGGAGAAATGTTTATTCCAATCAGTTTTCATCATGGATGTACATTATGTATTTTAATCATTCGACATTATTTTCTTAAACAGTGAATTTGTAATATTTATGTAACATAACAACACTTAGTCGTAATCAACGGAAAGACGTGAATAAATATGCATTGGTCTAAGCTAATATACCACATTAACACTATGTGAAGTCGAAATGATTTAGTGCCAATACTAATAATAAGGAAAACTAGAGATTAAGAGTGTAGTTCTAGAAAACAGAATAAAAAGATATGTATAAAGAAATACTAAAAATTCAGATCTAGAGTAAAGTAAATAGTAAATATAACTGCACCATTGTAACCAATCCTAAAACATGTCACCCAAAGTCCCCCACCAGTGATCGCGGTTATAGCTCAGATTCAAACCAAGTAGTCTGGATCTGCCAACAGTCAGTGAATATGAACTGATATCATACATTGGTTTGAGCACCTCTAACTTTCTTTTGTCTTACTTCCATACCAGCTAACACTGTTTGCAGGGGTAGGCGGTTAGGTATACATAAAACATAAAGAAAATCCACAACCGTATAAACTGATTGGCTATCTTTACCTAGTACCCTACGCCTAACCTCAAAATCGCTCACTTGGTTGCTCTGTGGAACAACAGCGGTGATTTTAAGATGTCTATGGTCAAAAACCTCGGCCTTTGGATGTCATCTGCTTTCATATGCTATGTTACACAGCCATAAATAAACAAAGCACACTTTTGTACAGTGTACACGCCCTTTGGTTGATAGACAAAAATTTCGTCTACGCTCTAACTGATGGAAATAAGTTAAAGTCAAGAAAGCTTTCTAAATCCTTACCGGGATTTTGTCTGACACCTGCCCACCACTTGGTCGGTCCCGATTTTATTATTGCAAAATATATATTAGCATAGAATTACAAAAGATTAATTAAGATTTTACTCTGTTTACCTTCTTAAACTTGTTTTAGACATAAAGTACATACAAAATCGTGTAAGATTTTTAAGTGAATATTGTCTGCGTAGCAGTGGTTGGGATTAGACTTGTTTTTGATTGTAACAGAACATCAGTCACTTATTAGTGGAAAAAAATAATAAGACCAAATTACGTTTTAATCCTCTACACTATAGTATGTCGTTTTGTTTATCAAGAACAAAATTGCAAAATCTAGCATCATTAGTATGTCCCTATTCTAAAAAATGTATGATGACTTAAAATCCAATTTCATGTTTTTTCGACATGTTGACGCATCACTACTATCCTGCGTTCCATAGTGCCATGTCATAAACTGATCACTTTCCCCACCTTATGATGCACTGCAATAACACTTGTTATAAGATTAGTTGTGTCATATTCATACAACAGAAAACCAATATTTTTGTCGATCGCTTACAACTATTTTATCAGTGAGTAGAGACCGGTTTCACATATGCCTAGTTCCCTAATTGCTAATCGAAATTTATAGGTCAGTTTGCAATTGGGCTACTACCCAAAGTGATCAACCATTGTATGCATTGTGCTGTGTAAGGCGGATGGAAGTAATCGACAAGAAACCTTTGACTTAAGTTCTTTATTATATAGTACACGTTAGTAGGGCATACGTGCAATGTTGGATGACACATTCGGCTCTAAGGGGAACACCATCCCCCTCAAGATTACAAGTGCACTTTGTCGAGTAGTGCCAAATAGCGCGAAATTTATGTCTTGGGTTTCCTGTCGACTGCCTCTGATCACCCAACAGTATGTTGAGCGATACATGTGTATTTTCTCAAAACCATTCACAGATACTGCTCTAACGTTCTCATTTGCAAACTATATCACGTGTAATGTAACGCATAAATATCCATCATATACAGTTAGCAAGATCGTGTGAAGCGATCATAAAGCTACAACAGCAGTTTTTAATAATATGGGAGTCTACAAAATGAATAAATGAATGCACATGATTTCGAATAACTAATTACTCTTTGAAAGATAGTTTGAACTCAGATTAGATTGACGGATTAGAACTAGCCTTTCCAGTCCATGTCTAAGATGAATAAATATATTTATTCTTGGTTTGTTCGACCTGCATAAGCGTTAGAAAATGTCATAAAGGTGTGTAAAACAAAATTACTCGGTATTATTAAGAACATCATTTTTCCGTTCTTCCTTGTATAGAATCATTACTTATGCTTGAGATAAATAACGTATATCTACTACCCTATGATGTTCGAATTGAGTAATCTATGCCATGAATGATTTTCAACAAAGGTGGAAACTATGACGTGGCATACAAATATGTGTTTCTATACTAAGTTGCACTTGGATTGCTGAATTTTCTAAACTATGCATCAACCTTGAGTTATAATGAAGTATTGTGTACTTCGTGTAGAGGGACAATGTTGTGGTTAATACCCTACGTACGAAAACGACACGTCCAATTTGTCATACGTTCTTGGTCCTGATTCCCTTCCAGTGTGTTCTGGTCTTGCTTTTTTAAAAATTATTGTTTTATAATTTTAAACCATTATCATTTATTATTGTCGTTTAACAAATTTTCATGATTATTATTCAGTCATTACTATGATATTTATGTTTTTCGTTTTCATATCTGTCAGGCGGACAATTATCTTTCAAAATTCTAACCCGTAAATTATTTTCATCCTTTTATTCTTTTCTAACCCCCTGATTATTACGCAACCTCATTTGATATTTAGAGTCTCGAGTCACTTTATGATGCAATCTTTCTATAGACATATACTTACCATACAACTATAAATACGAATGTACAGCTTAAGTAAATGATTTTGTCGAAAAGGGAATTTTCTTCGCTGAATTCTCTTCATTCAATGACATAATGGGTTACTTGACACTTAGTTTGCTGTGATATATCGCACAATTTTTCTTTTTTTTAAGGAGTTGGTATTCGCAGATTCTGATTAAGCGATAATAGGTTACCACAAATTTCCATCAAAAAGGATGGCTTGATGACAAACATTCTGGTTAGCTCGGGTATTACATGAATTCAGATATATAGGGTTAACGAAATAACTTTTCTGTCCACTCGATTTCGGTTGTTATCTGACGTTACATTCGGAGTAAAATCACGTACAGAACAGTTATTAGACATACCTCGCTTTTACCCTTATGACTTCCTACCGCTTATTGAAGCTGACTTCCACGTATGCATCTAAAACAGTTTTTCTATTTTTATTAAATCGGTGCTTCTATAGGTTTGCATTTGAATATGAATTCCCTGAAGTTTTTTTACTCCTATTTCACACAATCCTAGGCTGAATTTATTGTATTTGACTTGTGCGAAACTAATTTCCACCTTAGGAACAATGAAATATGTTACACATTTCGGGAAATAGCTGACATTTTGATGTATTAAGGCTTTCATTTAGCACCATAGTACTGGTTCGCCTAGGTCATATTTCCCAAAAAGGGAACTTGGAATTTGAAAAAAATATTGTTATTTTAGTTTGAGTGCTTTATTTTTGATGTATAGTTATCGAAACACTTACAACTAGGTGAGCCATAATATAGTGCCGATTGTCTTTTCTCAGAGCGATGATAATAGGCCATACCTCTACTAACTCGATATCATGGGAAATAAGCAGAACTTGCTATTTCTCAGTAATAAGACCTTGTAAAAAGGGTGACAACACAGTTTTTCTATAAAAAATAGTTTTGTTGTTAATATTCTAATTAATGTATTTTTAGATGTGAGGATTTTATCTGAGATACTTCAGAAAGATATCAACTGCAAAGGATAACCAAAAGATCGACAGCAAAGAAATCCATCCTGACCATCAATGTAACCATGGGCAGATGGACAAACTGTATTACTCGTTTCTACTGTCTACTCTAGACCTTATTCTAATAAATGTGTTTACTTCCGCTCTAGTTACGATAAATTCTCAAATTTAACGCTGGACTTTGACTTCATGGGTCTATACGTTTTGATATAGATGTTGATTGTAAGACGAAAACTAAGTATGTTGCCCTACAAAAGATCAGGCTTCATTATCCGGATGCTTGAGAAGTTTCTGAATCAAATACGACAAGTAATCTTCAGTGACACTACTTATATTCAACTTTAGGATATATATTAACACAATATTTCTGGTCTTGATTATTTTGCCTTACTGTTTAAGTAGTCTCTGGAAAATGACAAAAGCTTATCAAATGAGTACGTTGGAAAAACGAATTCGATATCCTGAACGCAAGTCTGAAAATAGCATGGGTTTTTCAGTCGCTAACTTCGAAACAGTGCTTTAAAACTGATCTTAATCAATGCTTGATTTCACAATTTGAATTGAATTGATGTACTGGTTATTGGTCTGATGTTGTTTCTCGGTAACTAATGAACTACCAACTTGTATTTAAGAAGTTCACTAAAAATTTATCAAATATCAGTGCTAAAATTGTATCTTCAAACTCAGAAAAATCCAATGAAAATTACAATAGTTTACTCATTCAAAAATAAACTCAATTACAATTAATTTTTACGAAGTCTCAATAAAAATAAAATACGGGAAGATAAACCATTCTGAAACGAAATATTATCTTTTTGATGTGATTCGTTGAGGAAAAACAATCACAGTATGTTTAGTTGTCGGCTAAATAATACGTAAAAACAGTAATTTAACTATATATGAGCACCATATAAAACTTTCGGAATCATAAAACAAACCGAATACCCTGATGTGAATGATATGTTCTCAATAAATCAGTGGCATTTTGTTATAAAATGACAGAACGGAATGATGGTTGTAATAACAATGAAAGTTTATCTAAAAAGTAACTTCTTTCTGGAATTTTATCTCACCGAATCCTTCAACCGATAATGGTGGGTAATTAAATGAGTTCGCCGTAAAAGCCACATCCAACACTGTATCATCTCCCACACCTAATACAGGATACAAAACTTCACCACCGCTGTCAATACACAGTGGGCTTTGTTCTGTTTGCTCCGAATACACATGAGCAATATCTCCATTGATTGTAAATCTCAATTCCCCTTTATCATAGATCACCCCAATTATATCACCCTCTTCAACAGATTGTTTTAACTGACCAATCACATGACCACGACTCCATATTTTCATATCGTTTCTAAGTATCCAACATGACGAATCATCAGTAAGCGATTGGACAGAATCCAATGGCGTCTAATTTTAGAAATAACAAATAATTCGATGAAGAATCCAAATTAAGAAAATAAATCGACATTTACTAATTGCAAATAACAAGTGAGACAATAGAAGTTACTGACTTCAAAAAAGAAAGATTTATGAAATTGGTGTAACTTTTAAGAAGATTTACATAAATCTTGTGCATTAAACTTTACAAGACTGAGTATTAGAATGATTCATCTCGCTAGAATATACTTATAAACCACTATCCATTACAACGTTCTCTATAAATAAATTGAAGTAGGAAAATGATAAAATTGTCTTCTCTTCTTTGACTTGATTCTTGGCCTCATATCTATTTATGACTTTTATAGAAAGATAATGAAAGGCTCACGAATAAATCATCATAGTTGAGAACAGGGTTTCAACAAAATCGTCCCCATGAACTACAAATCTCCATTATTTCGGGATTGATTTACCGTAAAGTATGATTGTTGTAGTTAGTATACCCTTCTGACTAGACAGAAGTTTGCGGGACCTACAGAAATGTTTTAATCCATTTTATCATAACTGCCTAATTAAAATGAAGTATAAGATTCGCAATAATAAACATAGGTGTGATCTACTTCATTTAAGTTCGTTATAAACAATGTTTTTGTAATAATATTATGAAGAGCACTATAACTAGGTGTCATTAAACATGGACACATTCGTTACATTTCAAAAAATGAAATATGTAAGAGGAGAAAAAGGACAAATAAATCTTGTATTCCACCTGACCTACTGAAACTAAAGGTTTCGTGTCAGTTTGAGGCATCAGAAAAGATAACATATGATCTTGTGCATATTCAAGCCCAGGACGATTAGACTTTTTAACAAGCATGATACTTCCCAACTCACGAGTTGGACACCAAGTGTTAGAACGTCTAAGTTTAAATAATTCATGATTTGTCAGTATTCTTAAGTCACACAAAATTTCGTTTAAGCCATTTAGCTAAATATTTTTTCATTAAACAATATTTGTTAATGACATTACAGAACGTATTTCCCTCCAAAGCACTTGATCAAAATCGATCTATATTTTGAGATTCTAGAATACTAGATTTGGTTTTTGCCAAATCTGAGAACATTCATTTATATTGTAAATAATGAATTGTTTAAAGTGAAAATATTAGGATTCCGCACTTCAAATGAGAGAACAGGAAAAGTGATTTTCAAAACTAACAGGAATTTCGTCGATTGAAAGATGTCTTTAATAGGTTACTTTTCACATTGTAGATAAGTTCAGTTGTTTATCCAGTAAACCGAAGTTAAGACGTTTACGGGTACCATCTACCTAAGTGTTGTACGCTAGAAACCTGTCATTAAAAAAAATATATGCAACCGTTCCCAATGTGTCGTGGCATATGTTATATTCTCAAACCATAAACTTTTCACATTTCAACAATATAAGTTTTCCATCGTATTCATATCTGATCGCATATGATACGTTTAAAAACGCGTTTTAGTTCTGCTGTGTGATTGAATATTTATTTAACAGCAAAATTTAAGTAAGATACTAGATCGACAATCGAGAGGACATCAGTCTGCATTCAGTTACTACAACTTTCTTCATCTAACTTTAATTTTAGTGAGATCTTTTTGAAATTTCAAGCAGATTTTAGTTCACCGAACTACACATTTAATTTCAAACGACAAATTACGCAAATCTCACTCATATCGAAGACATCTAATGTTAAGCAAACCTAGTGTTCAAACACCTACCATCACAATGATGATGGTTAGACAAATCAAAATATCATGTTCCAAATAGTCAAATACACTTATTGATTGTAAGTCCAGTAAACTAAACAGACATAAAATTCCAAAACGTAAACAATTGCAACAAAAAAATTCATCTCAGCCTTTATTGGTCATTCGAACGTTAATTCTTGTTTTTACATAAATCAAATGAGAGGAACAAAGATAAGTGGCTATCGCACAACAATTACGATAAAGAGGTTTATACAGAATGGGCGATAATGTACCAGTTAAACGCCTAAATGTCACAATGATATTTAAATAGGGACTACTGACATGAAACATTCAATAAGATGATAGGAAACCGATGTTTATTGAAGACTTTTGTTCACTTCCTCGCCAATGTTGAAAAAATGCTCCAATTTTTCTAGTAATAAAACTGTCGTAGACCTCATCAGGTAGTTGGTACGATACGATGAGAAAAGGATTCATGTGTTTAGTTTCGTGTATTAATGGTTGAGTAACTTCTGCAAGAAGTACGGTACCTAATCTTGGTGGGTCTTGACACTCATCGGATTTTTCAGTTTTTAATAGACTCATTGTAAGAACAGAATGTGATTAACACTAAGAGTACGATAACATGGCAGTTTTAATCTTCTAGTAGTAAATTAAAATACTTCGTCCCTTTCTGTAAAGGATAGGTAAAGTGGAGGCCGAGTAGTTAAGGCATTTCAATTTCAGTCACTAAGTCTCAGCTTCGAATCATACTACACCTACTTTGTGTTGAACAATAAGATAGTATCACCATTACTCACACCTAAAGTGTATCTGGAAGCCAAGTATATGACTATATAATTGGTAAGTTAACAACAAAGGATGCATGTTAGCCTGAATATATCAGTGGTATCGTTTTGAGAGGCCACTCGCTCACGTATGATTAAAAGCAAGGATTAGTAGTAAATAAGAACACAATAAAGTATTGATGATTTCCTGACGACTTGTTTTCAACCACGCAAGTTCTGGTTCCTGTTGTAAATTAAATCACGAGTGACTTCTGAGACATATTAATTAACTAATATTAGTATAACTACTCAATAATTAGATTATGTATATTTATATTCCTTCTACTGTAAGCTTCATTTTGACCTATAATTTATTATTGTACGATTTACTGTTCTTAGGCTATGTTGAGTTTATTGACTACTACCTCCCACGTTCACAGCCACTTTCTGGCTTTATTGCGTATGAATGTTATTTCCTATTTTATGGTGCGTTGCGGTCTGTTTGGTTGATATATAAACCCAGTATGTCTCAAATAAATAAATCGGTTCGATTCGCACAGTGGAAGCTGGTATTGTTGTTCTGGACTCAAGCGGACGGGCTAGGCGGGCATAGGACCAATAAGGACGCTAGGCTGCTCATACCGGTCGAACGTCATTGGTTTGGCATAGTGCTAAGGTTGTATAAGTCGTATTTTGATTGGTGAGTGGATCGCGTGACAAAAAGCCGAACATAAAGTCACAGCAATTCCAGATATATAACAAATGAGCCTTATGTTCAAAATATTGAAGTGATATCAAAGCCTAGTTAGCAGTCAAATAACAAAAGTAATTTGCTAGTGTAGCAAACGATTTTTAACTAAGCTTCTTTTCAGATAAAATACAGTGACTATTCGTATATAATTCTCAATTAATTATGCAACTGTTTTCTTTTGTTCTCTGACATTTTTAACGTGATTGTTAGACAGTTATGAATGAAGAAGAATCTAGCTAAAATGTATACAGTCCAAGTTTGTACACTTCACATCAACACAGTAAAAGATAATAACCAAGAAAAAAATAGTGAGGTGAAGGAAATGTTAGCAGCAACAATAAAATGTTAGAAATTAATTCAGAAAATGAAAAGTATAGAATAATATAACCGAAAATCATAGAGTAAAATTATCTTTTCATTAACACTTAATTTAACTACGGTTATTTCATTGACACAAAATAATAAACCTCCACACCCCCACATGGTCTAAACCAACAAATAATAACTTCAAAGACTGATCTTATTTAGACACCAATCTTAACCTTTAGCAAGCTGGCCGTTTGCTAGTTAGTGTGGATGTGTTTATGCCACATAAACATTCGAAAATATGCATATAATGATTTAAAGACATCTATAATCAAATACCAACAACCCTCGTATATTAACTAAATCGTATATCCTTCAAGGAGTAGAAACAATGATTTTATCTTTATGCTACGTGGACGAGATATTTAAAGGAAAAATAACATACAAATATGCTAAGTCATATATTGCTGACTGGTAGTATAAATGACTAGTATGTAATGGATCATATTGTGTACAGGTGTTTTTATAATTAAAGTGTTGATCAAGATAATATGAATCAAAATATTGTATAAACAACTTACATTTACTGTACACAGCCCGATTCCCCATGACCCTCTATAATTTTGTAGTTTCACTTCGTAATAAGCATAATCCTGTATTATTGGTATATTTGTTCTAGCAGCACCATTAGCACAAATTCTTAAACCGGATTTTAAAATGAGTACAGATGGAGCAGCAGTGAGTACATCAAGTTTCACATAAAATTTCATCAATTCTCTATCAAGCAGTGTATAATCGTCATCATATATATTATCACGTCGACAACATCCAAATGCTGCAAATAATGACTAAAACAATTAATATATATGCATACATATTAGTTGGATACCGGCAACAATTTCAAATATACAAATAGATTTGGACTTTGTAAATGAATGTAACTGAGGTTATTTAAAAATATTTTATGACTAGAAATCAGTAACAGAAAACTATGGAGAATTGGACAAGTGTTTCGTCCTGGTTTACAACTTATTACCAGTACATATTCACTTTATACAGAATCGAATATAGCATACTCAGGTACTTTGAAGAAATGGATACTATTTAACTAATAAGTTGCAACCTTGAAAAACCCGTATTTTCTAACTTTGAAGTTTACAGTACGACACGATCACCATCCGGTCTCATAGATGTACCGACCTCTTAGCTTGATTCATTTGATGGATAGAAAACCTTTCACTAAGATGTCGAAAAATCCGATCCCAAAGTCATTAAAGAGTAGGAAAAGTAATTCGAAGTATTTTTAAAAAAATGTTAAGTACGTTCGCTTTCCAGAAGTCTATAAAAAGGTCGCAAATTACTAAATCCTCGTAAATATAACAACAAAACAGCTAAAAAGTACAAATGGACAACCAAATCTCGTGTTTTCAAGTACTGACTGGATTCTGTCGATCGGTATATGCGACCAACCAACTAGAAATCAAAGTATTAATTCTTAATGGGGACAATTTGTAGGAAACCTGCAATCGAAATCTAAATAGGCTCGGTAGTGGTCAACTGTATCTTTAACTCTGAATTAAATATGCATGCTTCTAAATCCAAGCTTACACTGATTTTAATGATCAGTAAACTCAAACCCTTTGTCTTTAATACTGAACAAAAAGATATCATTTGAAAGATTATTTTATAAAGAATCAAGGACCTCACTAAATCAACAATAAGTAGTGGTAGCAGTCACTAAAAAACCCTTTTCTATATATATTTCAATAACTTCAGATACGCAGAATTTCGGAGTTTCACATTATATGTATTTAAGCACACGATCAATGCGTCGTAATACCTAGGCTAGTTTCGTCAATATACATAATCAACGTGTGAATTATTTTATCGAAACAAGTGCTGTGTTGATAATTGACTCAGTTTGTAAAATTTAACTTGAAACACTAGAAAGTTTAGGTAGTCGGTTAGTTTATACAAACAGATATATGTATCTAATAGCTGGGATGCCTTATATATATCATTTTATAGTCCATAGAGTAAGAACTATGAATTAAATACAGATTATTTGAACAGGATAGTGGTTGACTAAAACAAACTTTACCAAAAAGTCATCACTTTCATATGGAACTGCCAGTGGCTAGATGTTTAAAAACTTAGCTACTACTACTCGATTTGAATGCTACTCTTTTCAGTTCGATTTAATAAGGTACTTAGTAACTGAAGTTATGTAGAAAAACAAACAACTAACCTTTTCACAAGTATTTTTATGTCAAATATAAGATATTTTGATTTTCAACTGAAAACCAACTTACCACTTTCTTACAACTCTATGTCAACTGATAATCTAGTTGTGTGATATTTCGTTTTAAATATGAATAGTGCTAACAGTACATGAGTTTAAGAATATGATCACAATATCACCCAGTCCAAGATTAAATTTAGTATATCCATGAGTAGATAACAGCATCTTAAATAAATAATTTTTGATACAACATATATTCACCTCCTTACAAAATTAAAGCAACAGCATCTTATCCTTTTTTCGTGTGTATAAATTATAAGTCAGTAAGTAAAATCGTACAACCGATTCTATTGTCCCAACTGTATCCGATTCGTGTTATACAAAAGTTATCATTATGTATAGTCACAAATTGATTTTTCTTTTTTTTTTCACCGATTAATCTGAAACTAGGTGCTGATAATACAGACCAGAAAACAAAAAAAACATATATGTTCCGTCATGAGACTGAAATAAACATCGACAGTGTTTTGAATGACCCATTTTTATCTGGCTTCAGCTTATGGTGATGTACCGATAAATTAATCAGCGTAATTAAAATATTAATTGAATAATAGTACGACAAAGGGACATTTAGTAATAATAATAACACTAGCCGTTGACTGAATTATTATTTTGGAATAAAATGAAAACAAGACAATATTCTTGAAACCAGTAATATAATTTATTTCTTTGATGACATTATATGCATATACATATTATATATAAATCAGAGAACAAGTTGGGATGAAATAAATACTATACAAGTAATTATATAGATACAAATGTCAAAAAAACATTTACACAACAAGCATATAGCCGGTGTCCGTCAATTTGATGCAATAAAACACCATTCACGCATGATGATTCCAAACAATAATTGAACCGATGCATAATAGACAGTAAGAACGTTGTAATCGGATAACCTTCAATCCAATAGGAATAAACCCCGAAACGTTGTATCATATACATGTCGTATAGCTTCTTTAAAAAACGATGGGAATGTAATATAAAAATCAAAAAAATTAAACAAATATTTGGTGCTTAACAGAACATTAACGGCAGTCACGATATATAATAAACCATGTAATAAAGTTTAAGAAATACAGATAGATAGAAATGAGAATGGCATTAGTCGATAAAATCAAGAACCGTAATTCCTTAAGATAACAAAAAAGAATATTTACGGACTCCGTACTATCACTCGAGTTGACCGAAACCCACTGCATAAATTTATACTTTAACAATTTGATTAGCTTATTGATTGCACTTTTTGATGTTTCACACGCAATTTAAATTCCTTAAATAAAGTTTAAGGAATTTCAGCCGATTTTTAGTTCAAGTGCCGGGAAAAAGGCCACTGCCCAAATGCCCCGAAACGCAGGAATCTGAAGAGTTAGATCTCTCTGTTTTGACCAAGTGAATAATTAAGGATACATATGAATCATCTATATACATTTTTCACAACCACACAGAGACTAAACGAAAACGCAGAAAAATCACATTTTTTTTCTTTCAGAAATAACAACTGCGTATAAATACATTTATGAGCAATATTGAGGACACAACCGTATTTTTTTTAAAAAGAAAAGTATTAAATCAACCGGATTCGAACAATAATCTGACTTGGAAACTAGCTTATTATCTTTCTTTTTAAAACAGTCGTTTATTCAATGATGATGTGAAATTATTTTAATCATCACATTTAAGTTTGTATATTTAACACAATCATATGACGTATTGACATATATTATTATCACTTATTGATTTCTATTGAACAAATTTAACACAATTTTAGTGGGGAGCGTTTATGTAGAAATTCCTTCTTTTCTCTGAAAACTACATTAAGTTATCTCAATGGATAAACGAGTTCACGTGAAAAGTTGGATTATGCTTCTTGTCTATCTGACTAAAAAATGACAAGAAAATGTAAGATTTTCAACATTTACGATTTACTTCGCTTCATAAACACTTTCATAAATTACTTGTTTCAAAATCTAAATGATTATATAGAATTTAAAACATACCCTCTAATTTATGTAAACTTTCTTGTTTAATTGTGAATACCATATATACTTCACGCCCATTAGATCGCCTACAAACAATCCAGCAGTGTGAATCTAGCCTAACAGCGATTTCTTCATGCCATGAATTAGGTCTGTCAAAACGTTTGAAGATTAAACATACTATAAGTAATGCATTCACACACAAGCTTTAATAAGTAACCAGATAAAACTATTTGAATAACAAAAATAAAACTATCAAATCCCGAGTTCAAATACTTAGTACTTGTTCTACCGTTGGTACAAGATTAGGCAGGAAGTGAACTGATCTCAGTTGAAAAAAAACGATTGGAAACTAGAAAGCGCCGAACAGATATTATGTCCCGGCTTGAGACTTCTCAGTAAGCCATAAATACGACCTCGCCACGTATCTATATGAATTACTTAACCAGTAAGTTATCCAGATTCTGGAATAATTTACCAAAATCTATCCGTGATAAAATAACTTCCATCCACTGTTCGCTGCACCGATATATACTTCTCCTCTGAAAATGCATTGAATGTTCTTGGACATGTAAGTGTATCTTATTCCACAAGTGAGATTATAAAAACTTTAAACGTCTAATCGTTTTTAATACTGAACCCACTAAGTAAACCTCCCAACATGCGGTCACTTTACACTAACACCGACCCTAGCAACATTAACTAATTTGAATAACATCTAACACGAATGGTAGATCATAAAATAACTTGGCATATGTATTGTGATAGACCCAACAAACCTCTCGTGGTAATCATTGCCTTTTTTATTCCGTGCTCTCTGCCTCCGTTTTTATGGTTCAGGAAATGACCTTAAATGCACTGTTCATGCATAAACATGACGTCAACCTAAAAATTAAAAGATCCTGGATGATGCCTTTCATTGTTGTGATAAGTGTGAAAAATGTAAAACCTAAACAATTTTTGAACTAGAACACTTGAAACAATCTAATATCACATATATGTCCTCTACATTTAATATTAATATCTATATCAAGAATACAATTCCTGTAAACTGGCAATTCTGTAATTACTATTTTCAGAATATATTATTATTATTTTGAGCTAATTGTTGTCACAGAAGCGGTTTAACTTGCAAATGTATATTGTTTTTAGTAATAATAATAATTATTATATATATCTTCATTCTGCTCTAAATAACCTAAAAATAAATGATTGTTTTTGTTTTACCAATAAGAAAATAATTACCTCAGAGAAAATTCCTCACGTAGATTCACCATAGCGTCTAGAATTAATTTCGCCCCTTTAATCGGCCGCTTACCAGACCCGGTGTAAAAGTGTAAAGTTGTCATAACAGAACAAGTTGATGAATTCCAATAAATGAAACGATTTGAATAGAGAGATGATAACGGTGAATCAATATAATCCAAATCTTCGATTGCATTACTTACTCCTTCTTCATTGATTGTAAGATTGCCAAGTGTTGGTAGGGTATGTGAATTAATATCTGCTGTACTCTCCATCAGGTGTAAAGGGAAGATGCTTAAACAAAATAAATCAATGATTCACATATCGTGTTGATGATTTACACAAAACAAAATACTCATGTGGAACTTAAAATATCATATTAAACAAATTCGAACTACTTCTAAAGTAGTATGAATTAGCTGTTGTAATTGACAGAGATTCTCAACATGTTGAATTTCAGATATTTTTTACTTCTTTCATTACCTCATAGATCATGTACGTCTGTTAATTTAAAAGCTAAAAATTATTGGACAATATTATCGCTTTATAAACAGTTATTCACTATGATTATTTAAGGTACAAGACATCATTATTTATCCAATGAATACGGGGAAAAATCTTGTGTAGCAGTAGTTTTAGGCGGCAATGTTACTATGTTCACCGAGATTATAAACCTCATCTAGAAAGAACTAGGGAAGTGAAAATTAAGGCAAGTTAGGTCGAGATATGTTTGAAAGATGGTCACGATAATATAGAAACATTCATTCCATCATTTTATTCTGAATCGTGAAGATCACGTTATTTTATGTCTTTGGTCATATATTTGCAACCAATTTTTCAAACAATATCCTTATTACTATCCCCCACTATTGTCACATCACTATCTGCATTTCATAAGTTCCCTTTATCAATGTATTCTCTTTGTGGTGCTGAAGGTTAATAACAAGTTAGGTTGATAAACTAATGATCCAAACAAAAATACTCTTCGCAGACATCTACATACCTGTTTGATTATTATTATTATTATTATTATTATTATTATTATTATTATTATTATTAATTCTTTTATTCGATATTATATTTTTGGTACAACATAGAATTATCAGCAGAAAGTATTTTAACAAGTTTTCTTTTCCTGTTTCTTGGTCGATCCTGACGATAAATACTGAGTGATCGCCAGTTAGATATTAGCAGTTGAGGAATCGACATTTGAATGATTTTCATCCATTTCAATGCACATTGACAGCCACCACGATGTCTCTGATTGTATTTTTTTGTAACTTGTACAGCAGAAGATCGTCAAATTTTCATGAACGCCCTTGAATAGTTATTCGGTTAAGGGATATAATGATGTGTTAAAACAAACAAAAACAGATAATTTGTTGAAATATCTAGATAGCAGGAACAGGTAGCCCAGATATTCGAGCAGGCCGCCAATAATTCTCTGCACATTCACCTGGTTGAAGTGGTAACATTTAAATCGGCTTTAACTGAATGGTTTGTCACAAACACAGATAAACTACGTTAACACATAAGTATACACATCTACTCACATTTAAAAAGTTTGTAGATTTAAATATACACTTTTTAAACGTGATTTAAATATGCAGACGTGTTTTTTATCGTGTTTCATGCTATTTTTAGTGATCACGGTAATATATCGATGGGGTAGCTTAAATGTTTACTAAGATGAATGACTACACTACTTTTAAAAGACGGAACCAAATATGTGCCAAGGAAAAAAATGAAAACACACAACTAGTTGTTAGAAGAGTACAAGAAAATTGGGATATTTAGTAGAAAGAACAAATAGAGCGAAATTTCTTGTCCATTAGTTTTTCATCATGACTCTACATCAATATATAAAACAATATTGAGTAACTAGAAAAGGTTTATTATGCTACATTGCACAATATATAAAAATGAATGACAAAATATTTTGATGAAATGTGAACATTGTAGTGGTTATTTAAGAATCAAGAGACGGATGTTGAGAATATGTAAAAATACAAATGTGGAACAAGTTAAAAAGTTGTTTGAATATTTTCGGAAGAAGGGGTTGAATCAAAGTTAAGCTAGAAACTATACCGATGGCCAAGGTACGGGAGTGTGTTTGCACAAACTACTTTTGAATGCAAAGGCTGGATTTGTGATAGCCTTAGCAATCTGAAACAGAGGAACACCTAAACCCAGTGGCACATTTGATAGAATGGGGTGGATGACCTCAAAAGCTTTATTCAAGTTAACTTGATGTCCAGTGTCCGCCAAGTGAGCCAGAATAGAACTCTTAATCATTCTTACCTATTCTTTGTTCAACCAAGATAAATGGTGTTCTGCTATGCGATGATAGACTTGCCAAATTGTACGCCCTATATAAATGAATCCAGTTGAGTTGATAAATACACATGGACGTGGCCCTCCCTCCCTCTCAAAATCCTCTCACACGGCCACGTGTATATAGCCTCTGCCAGGGAAGTCCTACTCACTGCCTTTCCGTGGTGGGAGGTTGTTTACAAAAATGAGAGGACGAAAAGCGAATATCCGACTCTTTAACCGGATCCCAAACCAATGGTGCACATGGCGTACGAACCAGTCGTTGGTCACCGGCTACCATGGGACTGCATCTCCTCACGATGCTCCACT